GGTGATTGCATTTACCTAATGGCAGCCACCTGGCTTTTTCCACCTCCGCCCCTCAGTCCCTGTAACCCGATTATCCCCCTTGTCCCCGAGGGCCTGCACTGCTCATCCCTGTTATTGGGTTTGTCCAGCCCCGGCTGGCGGCTCTGACCTCTCCCCAAGTCCTTATCAGCTGCAATAAAGAGGAATTGAAATGGAGCAGAGCAGTCAGCCCAGAGGGCAGAAATGGCATTAGGCAGCAGCAGTGGAGGAGGGTGCTGAGCTCGGCTCCGGCAGCGCTGCCAAGCACTGTGCCCGGTGGCACCGGGCTCTGCCAGGGCTGCCACCAGAAGGGACGTTTGCACTGGGATGCCGAGTGCCAGCGGAGCCCCGGCCCTACGCAGTGTCACCCTCAGACTTGCTGCTTGGAAGGGACCAGCCCTGCGGCGGTGCAGCCCCCAGCGCCGGCCCGGGGTGGTGGGCGTTGCGGGGGCGATCTCGCTGCCTTTGCCCTGGGGTGGTCAGGTGCCGGTGAGCTCTTCCCTTCCCGTGGGAGAATCCTGCATCCCTCTCGTCTGGGGTGCTCAGACGGGGGCAGAAGGGTGACGGGAAGCGGATGGCAGAGCTGCAGGGTTTGTCGGGCGATGGAGGAGTTTAATCGCAGCAAAGTCTATTTTTCCAATTACAGTAGGTGGCTGCACTTATTACCGTTATGACAGATTATCAGAGAGCAATTTTGTAGTGGCAGGAAAGACAGAGGGAAGATTGATTACATATTAATCAGCTCTCAAACCCCATCCCTGGGGATCTTTCCACCCAGGATTACTGACGAGATGAAATTCCTCCTCATATACAGTACAGCCCCTGCACTGGTTATGGCCCGGTCACTGCAGCCCTCCCTGCTCCCGCCTGTAGTTCCCGGCTCCCTCCGCACTTTCGCATCCATTCTGCACTGGGACAAAAGAGCGGATGCTTTTGCTGTTGATCTAAAGGGACAAAGAGTTCTTTCTCTTCCCGTGATGCTCACACATGCACAGGCATCTCCAGGGCTTGGACAGCTTTTTTTTTACCTTTTCTTGTTTCAGGTTTTAATGGTCATTTGGTTTTCATTGTGCTGAGCCCCACAAGTAAAAGGCAGCGTGGATGCTGGCAGAGCCCTAAAGCCCTCCCTTGCCCCAGCACTATTTAACCCCCTCCCCTTTCTTGGCAGTCCCCCCTGGGCTGTGCAAGCTGGAGAGACTCAGGGCTGCAGCTCAGGCTCTGGAGAGCAAAACCAGCCCTGAGCTGAGCTGGGCATCGCCCCCAGCCCGATGCTCTCGAGTCTGAAAGGCTACCGGGGGGTGTCTTCCAGGGGATGGCTACTACCTGGCTATCGGCGGGGCCGTGGCTCAGCACAACTGGTCGCACATCACCGCTGTGCTGCAGGACATGAAGCTCCAGTGCAAACTCCTCGACTGCTCGGAGGAGCTGGGCATGATGAGCATCCAGGGCCCCCTGAGGTGAGTGTGGGGAGAGTGTTGCGGCCCCTTCCTTGCACCCTGACCATGAAGGGTTGGAGGGAGGGATGCAGGGATGGAGGGATGGATGGAGGGATGCCCCAGACGCAGGCCAGGTCCCCGTGTTGGGCAGCGGTAGGTGCGAGCCCCATGGCAACAGGCGATGGTCTGGCTGGAGCAACACTCCGTTTGCTGGGGAATTGGCATTTCTTTTGAGGTTCTCACAGCATGGCACATCACCCATGTCAGCTCCCCTTTGGAGGGAGAAGTCTCTCTTGCCAACAAGACGAGAAAGCAAATTTTAGTGATAACCCTCAGAGCAGGCGGGCGAGCTACATCCTTTCACCGCGGCCGCTTTGCTGTTTCCCCACAGCCGCGTTGTCCTCCAAGAAGTGCTCAACACCGACCTCAGCAACGAGGCCTTCCCCTTCTCCACCCACAAACTCGCCACGGCCGCAGGATGCACGGTAGGACGGGGCCGGCCCTCCAACCCCCCAGGGATGTCCGTTCACTGGGGCGACCGCCCGCCAGCCTGCGCGGCCAAGCATCCTCTGCTAGGGAACCCATCCGCCCTCCACATTGCTGCAGTGGGCAACTGGCAGGTTTTGTTGGGATTTTTTGTTGGAAAAGGCCAAAAATTGGGGTGTTTTCCTCCCTGTTTGCTTGCCAGGTGCCAGCCTGCTCTCCCAGCCCGCCCGGCAGTGTCGTAGTCCGGGCTGAGCTTGGGGAAGGGACATGGTGACTCACGGCTTTGCAGCGCTGTCGGAGGAACAAGAGATGCCTCCCATGGATTAGGGACGAGCGGTGGTGATAGAGATTTATCTGACACTCTAGATCCCCTCCTTTTCCCCCTACTCATAAAAAAAATAGGGACGATTTAATGTAAAGCGTGGCGGTAAGGACTGGGCAGCCTGCGGAGCCGGTGTATTTGATCACAGGAGACGTCTGACAACCTTAAGCTTTCTGTACAAGCGCAGATCATCCTGCATTTGCCCAGACTTCAGGGCTCGCGTCAGCAATTATGCAAGAAAAGCACAGAAATGGTAATGCTCCGCGCTAACGCCTCGGGCTGAGCCCCTCGGTGTCAGAGCGAGGGAATGAGAAGCCCTTTGGGGTGATGGTGGCAACCAGCACCTCTGCCCGGCTTGGGTGCCTGGTGGGGAGTCATGGGTGGGGGTTGCTGGCCGGCTCCTGCCCCCCGATGCATCGCATGGCAGAGCACGGGGCAGGCATGTCCTGAGTGCCACAGTCCTCAGCAAGCCGCAGGAGATGCACCTTGCCCAGGCTGGCAACCCGGAGCCTCTGCTGGGACCCGCAGCCATGGGTTTAGCACATTGAGTGGCATTGCTTGGAGGTGTGGAGGGGAGAAGGCTCAGCCGAAAGCCGTTTGGTGTCCTTTGCTGTGTTGCAAAGAGGTGGAGCAGTCCCCGGGGTTTGCTGTGAGGTTTCGCAGCGCTGTCTGCTTGGTTGGACACCTCCGTCTCGCCTGGTGCGGGGCAGCGAGAAAAACGCCTTAAATGTCTCCCCCGCCTCGTCTGGCGGAGATCAACAAGGTCTGAAGTTATCCCTAGGGAAAGGGGGTGATGGCAGTTCTTTGGGGAATTTTGTCGTGTGTGAAGCTGCTGACTTAGCCTGCTTGAAACACCCTAAATAGAAGAGTTGGTGACCACGAAGTGTCGTTTTGTCAAAAAAGAAACATTCTGGGAAAACCTGCTGCTGGCAAGTTTTGGTATCAGGGGAAGAGCTTTTGCAAGGTTTGCCTGAGGAGCTCTGCCTTGGTTTCTTATTGATGTTTACCCCATATGAAATATTCCTTCCATTGCAAAAACACCCCTTTGGGAGAGGGGGTAGAGTTTGTATCCCAGCCTTCCCATGGGAAATCTGGGCAGGCAGCGGTCCCAGGGCATCCCTCTCCCGCCCGGAGCAGGCTGGCAGGAGGGACCGTGCCGAGCGTCTGCTCCGGCTCTCGGGCCGGGGGCTGATGGGAGGTGAAGGTGTAGCGGTAAATCTTATAAAAGGCAGCAGGAAAACAGGGAGCTGGCGGCAGGCTGGATATTAGTGAAATTGGGTTAAGCTGCGTACGGACACTTTTCATTCGGAATTAAAGTAGCTTTAATTCAAATGCAGCTGGCTGCTGAAGGGATTGCTGCTGAATCAAATTAAGGCTACTTGATTTGTGAGCAAGAGCCTAGCCAGGCGGTTTAACTAAGCCACAGATTTTGCCCAACTCGGATTAATTCTCCAAACCATCACCGTCAGCATGCCCTGTGCTCCGGGTACCAAAACCTCAGTGTGCCCATGGGGGGGGGGGGACAGTGGCACAGGGGACCCAAAAGCCGACCTGTGGTTGCAGGTTGTCCAGTGCGCTGCATTTCAGTCTCCACCGGTGAGTTATAACCCTCACGCCTGTGGCAAGCTGCTAACATATCGTAATAATCTACTTATCCCCTGGGAAAGGTGTATAAATGTTCCCGTCTTCAAGAGCGTGATTAGGTTATTTGCATTTCGCTTCAAGTTTACAAAAAATAATCCGGTCCTGCGTGGAAGAAATAGCTGGTAGAAATTTTATGGCTTCTTTTGGGTGTAAATGCCCTGACTGTAGGAAAAAAGCTTTTCTGCCCAAGGGCTCTGGGCCGGGGGGGGCACGCTGCCTGCTGCCAGCCTTCAGGAGGGCTCCATCAGGCCCCCGCTGCACAATGAGCACAGGGGACTCCATCCCACGCCGAAATGAGAGTCGGAGGGTTTCTCAGGACAACGGGCTGAAGCCTTCGCTGATATTATCACCTTCCAGGGGGATTCAACTGAACCCAACATCTTTAAGAAGTTATCGCTGAGATTTTCATGCATTAACTCAGTAGTTGAACAAAATCAGCTGGAGTGAAAGGAGAGCTCCAGCGGAGTTAATGACTCTGGAAATTACCGATTGGTTTGTGAGTTTATATATAGTGTCTCTCATTGTATTGAACAGCAGAGAAAGGTCCCCCTTTGAATTTCACTGCTGGATACAGGGTAAAGTTCAGGTTTTCGTTTTCTAGAATACTTAAAATGCTTTTGAATTGCTGCTGAAAGAGCCAGGAATTGATGCTATTTCATAGCTCCTGTTGAAATCTAACAGAAAAACCTGTTCCTAGGGGAATTTAGCAGAAAGCCGGCTGGAGCGGCTGAGCCCAGCCCTTGACATCCCCCTTGGCCTCCGTGGTGGGATGCGCACCCCTGCCTGAGGTACGCACGCGTGGGTGCAGCCCCCAACCCCTGCCTGTGCAAACCTAATGCCTGGCACCCCAATTTTCCTGAGGATACCTCTTTTCTATGGTACAGTGCTCTTGCCGGGATGCTCGTTCCCCCGGAGCAGCAGTGGTTTGAGGGAAAGTTTCTCCTGGAAGTAACTTGCTCCTGAAAGTAAAGTGCATTTTAGCTGTGGCACTGACTGCTGAGTCACAGGCAGGGTTAATGAGCCGGGAAGTTGCCTGTCAATCCCCAGAGCATCTCCTGCCCTGATGAAGATGGTAGCTGGCTGCAGCAGCTTGATCTCTGGCTGTTCCCTAATTAGGTGACACCTTTGTGCAGAGTGAAAAGCTTCTCCGTGCCCCTCGTGTCTGTGCACCTCGAAAGGCGATTGCCAGCCTTTGGGCTTCACTGTGCGCCTGGGGCCAGGACCTCACGTCTTCTTGTGAGGAGGCTCAAAATAAGTTCCCAATATCTATTCTGTTCCTTCCTCCTCTCCACTTCTATTGTAAAGGTTAAGGCGTCTTAAAAGCTGCCTTAAACTCTGCTTGAGGACATTATTTTTGCAGTGCCGGTAGAGCACAGGGGTGCTGGGGGAAGCAAGGATGGATTTGGGTTCTTGGCCATCGCCCGCTGGCCGTCCTTGCAGCGGAGAGCCCGGGCACCCCTTTGGTACTTCTCCTGCCTGTCTGTTGTTGTTTATACCCGGGATTAGAAAGCACAGCTGAGACCAGCTCCCGGTTGTAATAAGAGCTCAGCAAACAGCAAGAGGCAGTTTCTGCCCCAAAGACATCCAGAGCCACCACGGGCAAGACAGCCCCAAAGCTGCTGAGCGTGCCTGGCCACAGAACCAGCCTCAAGTCTCTTCCTAGCTGAAAACTGCTTTATTAAGATGGCAGATCACAATCTGGCATGAAACTCTTGAGTTAATCTCTCTCCCAAAGCGAGGTATGCATTTGCAGTTGATGTGCATCCGAAGGGATGAACCAGAGGGGTTTTTGTGGGGGAGGAAGCAGAGAAATCCAAAGGGATGAAGCAGAGGGAAACGCAGCTCAGACTCAAGGGGTATCTCCAGGGAAGGTGCCCGAGCTGGGGTGGTCCCAAGCAGCCTGGAAAGCTTTGGGAATGCAGACAGGAGGATGCAGGCAAGCCTGCCTGGGCGAGAAGCGGGGGGGACACGGGCAGGGCAGTCCCAGCACAGCCAGGAGGTCTGTGCCCCCGGGAGTGCAGGCAGGCAGGCATATCTCCAAGGATGAGGCTTCCCCAAGAAGCACCGAGTCCCTGTGCTGATCTGCGCATTCCTTTTTGGAGCTTCATGCATTTGGGGTGGAGCTAATTTGGCAGCTTTGGGGCACAACCTTTGCTGGGGGAAACCTGAGCATCCCCCTGGGGTGAGCGGGGCACGGGTCGGGACGCTGGGCTCAGCCCCTGCGCGGGAGCGTAGGGCCTTTGGGTGCCTCTGCCGTGGGAGCACCATCCCAAGTGGGGGACATCCCCAGGGGACAGCAGCCACAAAGTGTCCCAAAGCAGGACAGTCCTGCTGGGGATCGGCTTCCCC